ATCGTATTTGACCACGCATAACTGTATCGTTGAACCGTCACATAATGCCCTCGACTGAAATCCGGCTGAAATTTGGATGGCTTTTTTTTCTTGCTGTAGCTTCGAGTTCACTCGTGACTTCGAATAGGTGGTGTGAGGGCAATAGGTTCTCGTAACCAGCTTCAAATACAGCAGCGATGATCTTCACATACTGCAATTTGATTATGGATGTTTTGCTGCACAATTTTTTTTTTCCGCAATTTCTCTAGACCGACATTATTTTTTTTATCGCATAACATGATTTTTTCCATACTTGACTAAGAGCATAGGCCAGTTGAACTCAATCATAAAAAATACTACTCATCTTCTACTGTCGAATGTTCAACCGGGCGACTCATACCTCGGACACATAATTTTCGTTCAGTGACCGTTCCATCATACTATGAATTCTTCTTACGGGCGTCTCACACCGCAGCCGCAGAGTTCTTCCTCGGTGTCCATCTCAGATCACTCTAAATTCGTTCTGCAGGCATCTCATACCGTAATGAGAGAATTTTTGTTCAGTGACCGTCCCAGTGCACTGTGAATTCTTCCTACGAGCGTCTCACACCTCAACGACAGAATGTTTTCCAGTGGCCTTCTCAGCACACCAATAAATCTATCTGCGGGCGTCTCACACCGCGACGATAGAATTTTCGTTTAATGGCCGTCCCAGCACATTGATTCTTTACGGGCGTCTCACTCCGTAGCATCTTCTTTTTCCCAGTGACCGTACCAGCGCACTGTCCGATGCTCTTGCGGGCGTCTCACACCGCAATTTCAACTTTGCATCCTTTTATGCATATACACTCCAACACCGCAACGGAAAAGAATCCTAAACTTTTGCTTCTTGTCCAAACTAAAACTTACGGACGTTCCACTATGGGGCATTTTCATACAACCAGGCGGTCCAAAATATTTCTATCATTTTTTCACAATTTCTGCTATTATTCTTGCTTTGTTTCATCAATATAAGGTGTGCGTTATCATTTTTTAACATTTTCACGACCAACTTTTGAAAAGGGCTTAACTTTTGATTAATTAAAATTTCATTTTTACGATTTTATAACGGTTACAGTTTTAAGCTTGTTTTCAGAGAATAAAATCTATTGAACAAAGACAACCTACCATGGTTTTATTGGGGAAAACACCGTAAAAAATAAAAAATAAATCTTTTTTTTTGGAAATATGTTTATTTTTTTCATCAAATCTTCTGTAAAAAAAATACAAAAAGCCATGATACAATAATCAAAATCAAATATGTTTCAACGAATTTCTTTTTATTCCTCTGTTACAATATCATCATGAACAAATTCTTCTTCAATTTCATCGACTGCTTTCATAAGTTCCTCCAAGGCATTGAAGTTATTAGTATCGACTACTGAATCACTTACAGAATTTTCAAATATCATGAAACTTTTCACGATGTCGGGATAATCCAGGGATACTTTTTTCTGTCGTCTTTTTGCCATCCAAATGGAACTGATCAGTGGGTCCGATTCATTAATGGCACGAATAAAGACATCATGTAAATTTTCTACTCTTGATCGTTTTCTTGCATGATGGGTTCGATATTTTTTCAATTGTTTATGTTGACTATCTGCTGCCTCTTCCGCTAATGAACCAAGTGGTGCTGGTGAATGTATGATTATTTCTCCGGAATGAGCGAGAAATTTATGCACGGTTGCAGGAATTTTGTACCAATCATACAATTTAAGATAGAGCCTATATGTTTCCTTGCCATATGCATCAAATTTTTACGGGTTTATTGGCTCTTGGCAGTTAATAGCAATTAATATATTCCGGAATCTGAAAATTAACTCTTCATCAATGTTCAGCACGGAGCTTAGAAGCTTGGGATTTCCAAATGCTCTTCGACAAACGTTTCCTGTAGTACTGGTACCTGCTCCACCCGATCGTGGTTGATCTACTCTTACTTGAAATTTTTCGTAAAGCTGTGTCGTCACATGTTTTTTTCTTTGTTTATATAGTTCTTTGAACGGTTTCGTTACCTTCCATTTTTTGATATCCATTCTGTATGCAATATGCAAAAGGCATTCGAAAAATCTTATCCAAGCATGAAGTGGAGATATGCCGTAATGCAAGGCTTCTTCGTTTGATATAAATCCTTCCTCGAATTTCTCTGCATCATTCATTACATTTGGTGTTGCCCCACATATTGGACAATTCTGCATCGACGAATTTCCAGTGATATAAGTTAAGACTTTTCCGTCTATCATACTGAGGACAAAATCAAAATCAACAAGTATAAACTTGTCGTTTGAGAGTTCAATTTTCACTGGCGTTAGTTCACTCATTTCTTTTTCTACATCCTGTTTTGTAGCCAGAATAACTTCTTTACTCTCTTTTATGAATTCAAGGATGAATGGCCTACAAAATCGAATACTTTGAGGCATGAGTATAAACCACATAATTTTCTTTCGATCATTGTACATGAACAACTGAATTGGTGTTGAAGTGGACGAAAATACATCTGAATCGTCCTGACATCCTTCTGGTAGCACTTGATGATATTGCGAATATCCAGTTGATCCGTCCATACCCCAGCTTCATAGAAGAACCAGTTCCGTAGAAACTAGATCGTTGCTATCCATATACTCGTTGAGCTCTGCATCAATTATTTGGACGATTCGTTTCACTGTATTTTCCAGCAGCGCCTGGAGTTTCACTCTTATTTTCAATGCACTTTCTTCGATGAATTCACTAGGAGGGGCGGATATATTTTTTTCACTGCTCCGATCACATAGTAAGGTGGAAATCTTGAAGGTGATTCACTATGTATTACTTCGTATTGAAATCTACTCAATCCAGCCTCGATAAGTACATTAAAAGCCTCTTCTGGTGACATCATTCTTCGTTGATCAGTTAGTTGAGCCAGCATGGTTTTAGAGCTTTTTTGGGTTTTAAAAATATGCCCAATAACTTTAACTAAATTAAAATCCTTTCGATTATAAGCGGTCCGCCTTGCAAATAACAAAGCTTTCTCGATGGTATCGAATTTTGGATCAACTGCTTCATCGACGTTAAACGCGACGTTTTCCTCTTTAACTCAAATCCAAGAAAGGTTTTGAAGGTCGTCCACGTTTTGTTCCCGAGGCCGAGGTTGAGGCAACACATTGCTCCTGTTCGATGAATTCCTCGATGCCAAATTCTCCATCAAGCCAATTCCGAAAATGCGACTCAAATCGCTCTTTCGTGCGATTAGCTTCATGCCATTTGTTGATGTATTTAGTAACGATTTTATGGATCTTTTCATCGAGACGTTTATGTTTTTCCACCGAGATGTTATAATTTTCACAAATGAATTCAATGGCTCTGTGAACATTGTCACTATGGCTTAATTTTGCGTCTAATAGATTAATAATGGTTCTATTATCCATGCTCACACTTGGTCTCAACCGTAAATTTGAATTACACTGTAGTAGTTTAAATAAAAGCTACACAAAATACACTATGGCTTCAAATTGACACTACAGTAGGTTAAGTACAGACTTAGGTATAAATTAAACTCATCCGCGCATATGCGTAGGTACATACTTACGCATATGCTTCTATAATCGTCATAACCCAGGTACTTACTTTAGAATAAAGCATAAACGAATGTAGTTTTACGTTCATCCAACAGTGAAATTTATGATAATGATGACTTCTTTTTGTACAAAAGCTTAAGCCCTTTTTAAAAGTTGGTCATGAAATATTAGAAAATGTTCTTTAACAATATATTTCGACTATACCAACCGAATATAACGCCAAAAGTTGCAAAATAATTGTTGAAAAAGTACAATTTGGAATCTCCCATAATAACCGAAAATTTTCAAATCGCTTATATTTCCAATGGGGCAGGTTGGGGCAGGCAAACTCTTCAGTACTTGTTAGAGTACACTCAAAACTTCATCCAGAGCTGAGAATTAGCCTGGGAATGTGCAAGACTCGAAAGTTTGTGATCAATAAAGTTAAATTTTCATTAATTTTCAATTATTTTTTTTCTATTTTTATTTTTAAATTTTTTTGTCTCCATCAAATTTCCAAATAGATTTTATTTTCGGAAAGCTTATTAAATTACCTTTCCAACGATGTATAATGATGTGGTAGTTATATGATAAATAGTGGATGTTGGAAATTGCCAACAGATTGGGGGTCGGGATGATTTCTGTAATAATAATATCGAATGAAAACAACCGAGAATTGGGGTTTACGTTTTCGTATTTGGAATATTATTATTTTCCTGTAATTATTGTAATTATTCAGAATTAGATTTTAACATGGTGGTGGATTGCTTAATTTTTTTTCATAACAATTAGCTAAAGATTTTGACCACTTACTTTTAGTCCCGTTGTGCGGATTCCTTGAATACCTTTTCGTTCGACTCGAAATAATCTCCTGCACGTACTACTCACCCGTACTAATAATCCCTGCTCGCACTAGTCCGTACTATAAGCATTAAAGTTTAAGCATTTTAACTATTTTAAGTATTAGTTAAGTAGGAATTACCTTTTAATGATAAAATCCAGCTTGCATGCAAATTCAGGGTTAGGAATTTCCGATCTTGACTGTAGCAAACTAAGTAGCAAAACACTAGGATAATCAATTTGATTTTAACTGATAGAACTATTTTAAATTTCATGTACGTTACCAATTAGGTGATAATATCACTTTTAGTATTAATATTAGCACAATTTCAAAGGCAATCGTCACGATCTTAGAGAAACTTTTACAATTCACTTGTGTACTTGTTGACTATTCAATATTTTTCTATCTATCTTTCCAACAATACAGTTGCTCTCCCACTCTCCCATGTACTGCTGACTCAACACTACTACAGTGATACGACGAACTGTCAAGACCGGTGCGTATTGGGCGGTTGCGATGATGTACGCGATGGTCAAACCCAAGCTACAGTAACGGCGCGCTGGTGTGAACGCGCCAACACTCCCTCCAGGTACGTTGACCACCCAGTCTACTTACTCCGTTCCGCGCCGCACGTCTAGCACGGCTATCTTGGCTACCGGACGTTCGTAGATCCCGGTCGATGTCCTAACTGTTGCTGATCTGGGTTGGCCGTCTCGTCCAGGTTGGGTACATATGATTCTGCCTTTCGGCCAGCAGTTCCGTGGCATCTTCGGGTCAGCTATGACCACTATATCGTCGACCTCGATTGGCTTCGTATGGATGAACCACTTAGTACGGCGAGTTATCTCAGGCAAGTAGTCGCTTACCCAGCGCTTCCAAAACAGGTTGGTTTGGACTTGAGATAGTCGCCAATTTTGGCGCAGCACGGCACCACTGTCATCGAGGGTGCAGAGCGGCTTGATTCCATTGGATGCCCCGAGTAGGAAGTGGTTGGGCGTCAAGGCTGGAGCTGAATCGTCATCAACAGGAACGTGCGTCAGTGGGCGGGAATTCACCGTGTTCTCGATTTCGGTCAGCAGGTTCCGTATTACCTCGTCCGACAGCTTCCGTGCTGGTAGGATTGCAATCAGGTTCTTTTTGACGGAACCTATCAAGCGCTCCCAGCTGCCGCCCATGTGTGGAGAAGAGGGAGGAAGGAACTCCCAGGTTGTTCCAGCATCCACGAACTCCCTCATCAGTTCATTTTGGTTGACTGATTCCTCAGCTTCCGTCATCTCCCGCTTTGCACCAATGAAATTGGTACCTCGATCGCTGTAGATCGCCCGTGGTTTTCCTCGGCGGGAAATGAAGTTTCGCAGCGCCATGATGCAAGAATCGGTGTTGAGGGAGTGAACGACCTCGATGTGAATTGCGCGAATTGTGAGACAGGTAGCGAGCATTCCCCAGCGTTTCTCGACTCGTCGACCTATGACGATCTCGTACGGACCGAAGTAATCAACGCCAACGTGGGTGAATGGGCGTTCGAAAGCTGCAAGTCGTGCAGCAGGCAGGTCAGCCATGATTGGCGGGCGCGGGATCACTCGGTCATTCTTACAGCATTGGCAGTCACTTCGCACTTTTGTGTAGGTCATGCGAAGCTTCGGTATGTTGTATTTTTGTCGTATCTCGTTGATCACGGTCTCGTGATTCTGATGTTGGTATTTTTGGTGGTAGTGTGCAACGATTAACTTGGTGGTGTGGTGGTCACGGGGAAGTATTGTGGGGTGTTTAGCATCTTCTGCGTAGAAACAAGCGGCGATGCGGCCGCGCATCCTCAGGATTCCGTTCTGATCCAGCCATGGCGTCTTCTGGTGTAACGGACTTGACTTGGGGATCGGAGTTGATAGTTGATCCGAGCATTGTTGTGACTTCTGAAGGACTGCTATTTCTTCCGGATAGGCTTCCTGTTGTGCTACGCGAATGAGATAGGATTCGGCGGTGAATATTTCGTGGTTGGTGAGAGGTCCGCTTACGATCGGTTCCTGGAGGCGCTTCAGTTTGCAGTTGGCAGGAAAACGATGAGCTAGAGCAACCACTTTCACAAGCCGATTCCAGTCTGAGAAATCACTTGAACAGACTATTGGTTCCGGAGCGATGAAGTGAGTTAATACGCTACGGCGAAGTTCGAGAACGGCTTCATTCGAGCTAGTAGATGAGTCTGGCCAGTCAGTTTCCGGGTGCTGCAGGAACTCGGGCCCGGAGAACCATCTCGTCTCTGAAGCCAGGCTAGGAAGTCCTTTCCATTTCGTCCCATCATCCGCTACGTTCAAATCTGTAGGAACGTATCTCCATTCATTCATCTCCGTGGTGTCCAGGATCTCGCTAGCTCGGAACGCGACGAACTGGGAGTAACGTCGGTGGTCAGATTTGATCCAGCAGAGTACGTCTTGGGAATCCGACCAGTAGTGACGACGAGAGATTCGGAATGACAGTGCATCTGATACGGATTGTGCTAGCCTGGCGCCAACCAATGCTGCTTGAAGTTCCAGTCTAGGTGTTGAGAGAAACTTCAATGGAGCGACTCTGGTCTTAGCTGCTACTAATCTGCATTCTACGAAGTCATCTTGAGCGAAGCGCAGGTAACAGGCCGCAGCAATTTCGTTATCTCCAGCGTCAACAAACGTATGGAGCTGGATGTCTTTACAACTGGGAGAGGTTCGTGCGCAGTAACATCGAGGAATGCTGACTCGTTCAACCTGCGGGAGCACTTGCAGCCATGTTTGCCACTTGTCGAACAGCGCATCGTCGATTGCATCGTCCCAGTCGATACCGGAACGCCACACGTCTTGAAGCAGCACCTTCAGCTACATGAGGAAATGCGCGATCAGTCCGAGCGGATCAAACATAGACATAAGAACACGTAACATTTCCCTCTTCGTTGGGTGTCGTTGACCTTTCAATAGCGCTTCTCCATAGCGAGTCCATCCGACCTTGTAGGTAAAGGTATCCGAATCAGTACACCACCACATTCCGAGCACTTTCTCGGTGGCTAGCTCCAGTGACAGATCGAGGTTTTTCTCATCTGTATGTTCTTCTTGCAGATCCCGCACAACGCGTTTCGAGTTGCTTATCCAGTTGCGGATCTCGAATCCGCCTTTCGAGTGCACCTCCTTCACCTGTTGCGCAAATCGAAGCGCTTCATCTTCGGTCTCAACGCTTACCAGCATATCATCGACGTAATGCCGCTTTTGGATGACTTCAACTGCTGCTGGGTATGCTGCTTTGAATCGTTCCGCGTTTATATTCTTGACGAACTGAGCGCTGCTAGGCGAACAACAGGCTCCGAAGGTCATCACCTGCAAGATGTAGACCACGATGTTACCTTCCTCGTCGTACCAGAAGAACCGCTGGCAGTGCTGGTCTTCCGAGCGCATGAGGACTTATAAAAACATCTCACGCACATCTCCAGTGAGCGCGATTTTGCCTTCCCGGAACTGGATGAGGATAGCGTGCAGTGCGCAAAGCTGATCAGGACCTTTTAGTAGAGCCGAATTTAACGATACTCCGTACACAGAGGCAGCGGCGTCCCATACGATTCGGATTTTTCCCGGCTTATTGATGTTAACAACCGGAAAAGTAGGCCAGACCCGATTAAATGGTTGCTTTAGCTCCTCATCGGTGAGTCTTCTAGCGTATCCTTTCATGACGAAATCGGCGATTTTTATATTGAGCGCTTCAGCGAGCTTTGGATCTTTGTCCATCCGTTTCTTGAGACACTGGAGCCGGGGCAGAGCCATAGGGCGACTATCCGGCAGTCGAACATTATCATATCGCCATTGCAAACCGGTTTCGTAGCGGTTTCCCTTGATTACGGTGCGAGATTCAAGCAGGGTTTGGGCTCGTTCATCTTCTGCGGACATCAGTGCTCTCTTCGGCTGCGCAATTCCCAAGCTGTCGATTGCGAAGTATTCTTTGATCGCCTTGTGTAGATCCTCGTCCGTTTGTGATTCACATGGGCACACATGGAACACTGAGTGCACTAGGTTTGGGACATCGTCTTGGTTTCCTCCTCCACAAACCGTCCAACCTAGTCGGGTCTTCACAGCAATCGGCTGGTCACGTGTTCCCTCTCGGCTCTTTAGGACCAGGCTTAGGTGTTGATCCTTCATACCGATCAGGATTCTCGGGCGAACATCTTCATAGGAGGTGATCGGCAAATCCTTGAGATGAAGATACAGTTTGCCGAGTTCCTCTACATTGAGCGTTTGTGATGGAAGCAGAAGCTCATCTACTGTACGCACGCCGTTCAAGGTATACCTCTTGGTGGGGCAATGTGTTGCTGCCACGTCCAGACTTACTGCCTTTGAGTTGTTTTCTCGCCGTTGCGCTCCACCTGCCCAGTGTAAACACAGTGGTTTTCTCTCCCCTTCAAGCTGCAACTCCTTGGCTAAATCTTTATCTAGAAGTGTGAGTGCTGATCCGTCATCCAGGAAGGCGAACGTCTTGATAGAACCGTATTTTCCTTGAAGTACTACCGGCAAGTAGCGGAATAGAACCTGACTGGACGTAACCTGATGTGTATGGCACCCATGTCCCGACGTACTTGTTCCTGGTTGAGCAGGATCACTGCGCTGTGTTGTAGGTTTGTTCGAGGTACTGGGTGCTGTATCCTTGAACGGTAACGTGTTCTTCTGATTGTTGTGTAGCAACTCGTGGTGTTTTAGCTCGCACCCGTTCTTCCCACACAGCTTGGCTTGACATCCTCCATTGTGTCGGCGCAAACATCTCCGACAGAGGCCGAGATCTCGCACTGTAGCCCAGCGTGAGTCACGAGAGAACTCTATGAAGCTCTTGCATTTGGCGATCCATTTGCAGGTTCCCTTGCATACTGGGCAGCTATCGTGAACCACTTTCGATCTGGATGACGATGTGGTGCGGGGATCCGATACAGATTCTTCTGAGTGTGCGTTGTCAAAGGAATTCCCTTCCTTATTTCCACGAACATCGCTTCGAACTGGTTTGGGATCGAAGCTGGTGTTTGGAACAATCACTGCGCTGGCGGCTTCCGCTAAAGAATAGAGCCAGGTGCTGAACGACGGAAGGTTGACCGTTGGAAGAGATTGCCTATATTGAGCCCAATTCAACTTGATAGAAGGCGGCAGCTTGTTGACGAGTTGATGAAGAAAGGTTACGTTGTAAAGATGCTCCTCCAGTCCACACGCGTCCACTGTCGCACAGAAGTTTTCCACGTTGACTGCAAAGTCAACGAGCGTTTCCAATTTATCCTCCTTCAGCGCTGGGAGCGAGTTGATCTTGGTAATCATCGAGTTGACAATCACTTCAGGCTGCCCGAACAGCATCCTTAGCGTCGACATAACTCCGTTAACATTGGCAGGATGCATCAGCCGACATCTCACCGATTCGTACGCTCGACCCTTCAAACTTCGCTGCAAACGAACTATATTTTCCTCGTCGGTGAACCCGCACATTGCTGTAGTGCTGTTGAAGGTAGAGAGAAAGAGAGGCCATTCCTCATTATTCCCAGAAAACATGGGTAGATCCTTCGAGATAGCTTGTCTTGCAGCTAGTTGCTTTCGAGTAAGTGGACACGGATCGAAATCTTCTTCGTCGCGATCGTGAGGACGACTGAATCTCCTAGGCGGAAAATCTGGATAATTCTGTGGAGTACCCTGAACTGGAAACGGCATAGGCATCGGAGGATCCGGGTTGGGATCGGAGGATCCGGGTTGGGATCGAAGCCTGGATGTGAAGGAATCGGTTCTGGTTCCGGGTGTCGTGGAACACGTACCGGTCGTGGATTTCTTGAAACAGGATCTGGAACAGGTCGTGGTGATTCCAGACGCCGCAGATCAGGATTCGGATATAATTATTGTGGAATCTGGAGCAAGCGTTGAGATCCATGATTCGGAACTACCTTTGGAGCACCAGGAGTTGGGACCGGGCGCATACGATTCGGTGTCGATACCGAACGAGGATATCCTGGATCCGGAAAAACTCCTAATGGTTCTGGAATCGGGAACGGCTGCGGATAATTTACAGCTGGAACATGCCTCGGCGATTTATGCGGTAGAACCGGACGTAGAGGAGTAAGATTCGGAACCGGCATTGGATGTTCTGGAATCGGGGACTGTTGTCGAGGATTTGGAATCGGGTCCGGTACTGGAAATGTTGCCGGATGGCCTTGAACGACGGCTGTTTGACCATCGGGGCCAAGCTGATTCTCCTCTTCCGGATCTTGCTCTGGATCTGAAGCCTCTTCCTGATGTTGCTCTTCCACCCAGTTTTTCATGCGACTTAATGACACGATGCTACTCGAATCATCCTCACTTAAGGCTTCCTCCAGCAGTTGATATTTTTGTTCTAAATAGGCCTTTTCTTTCCTTGCTTCTTCCGCTGCGATTGCTCGTTTCAGTTCCGCTTCCCGCAGCTCAATAGCCCTCAACTCGTCCAGCTTCTGAAGTTTCAGCTTCGCGAGGGCTTGTGAGGAGTGACTCGATGCAACAGACGTTTTCGATGTGTTTCGCGATGAATTCTTCTTCTCGCCAACTTGCCACTGAACAGTTGTGACGGATGGAGCCGTCGACCGCTTTTTATGACCACCACTTTCTTGAGGACAGACTGCACCAGAAGTTGAACTTGTTGCCTGGACACCTTTCGCGGTTTCGCATTTGGTACAGCTCCAGGGATAATTCTCGACTTGCTGCGTGACTCCGACACATTGGAAATGATGCCATTTCAGGCAATCGTCGCACCTCACCATATCATCCGTGTCTTCTCCTCGGCACAGCTGACATGTATGGCCGGGATGGGACTCCTCCGGATCTTCCGTGACCACCGTTTGCACACCATCATTTGCACTTTTCACCACTTCACCAGACTTGCCAGACTGTTTCGACCGTAAACTTCGACTTGACATGACCGGATGTCTACGCGCTTATTTCGTGTATAAACGAAAATAATAATTTGTTGGAAATTGCCAACAGATTGGAGGTCGGGATGATTTCCGTAATAATAACATCGAATGAAAACAACCGAGAATTGGGGTTTACGTTTTCGTAGTTGGAATATTATTATTTTCGTTTAGTCCCGTTGTGCGGATTCCTTGAATACCTTTTAGTTCGACTCGAAATAATCTCCTATCACTTTTAATATTAATATTAGCACAATTTTAAAGGCAATCGGCACGATCTTAGAGAAACTTTTACAATTCACTTGTGTACTTGTTGACTATTCAATATTTTTCTATCTATCTTTCCAACAATACAGTTACTCTCCCACTCTCCCATGTACTGCTGACTCAACACTACTACAGTGATACGACGAACTGTCAAGACCGGTGCGTATTGAGCGGTTGCGATGATGTACGCGATGGTCAAACCCAAGCTACAGTAGCGGCGCGCTGGCGTGAACGCGCCAACAGTGGATGAAATTTTATTTGAGTGGTAGTGTATTTTTGCGCCAAAATTTGTACTTTTCTTACTCTTTTTTGACTTTGACATCCGATATCTCAGAAACTAAATCTGCTAGAAGCTTGAAACTTTCAGATTCTTTTAGTTGAAATGTTTACTATCGACCAAAAATAACGAAATAAGGATTAGTGAAAGTCGATTTTTTGATTTTTGACCGCCTGATATCTGATAGTGCGGCGGCAGTAAGCGGTTACTCTAAGCATTCGATTGTAGTCAGAGAACTTGTCCACGTATAGGTCGATGAACGATGGTTCGGCTGATGCCTGACAGACAGTTGTCGGTCGATTTCTTGCTGCCTCGAGAGCATCACTGTTTGGTTCTCTGTTGGATTGTCCAATTGGCCAAGAAGGTTGTTTTAGCTGTAGCCACGGTGGTCCTCGCCATCAGAGTTGATTTTCGACCAGGTTCTCTACCAGAATTCCTCGGGACAGAAGGTCTGCAGGATTTTCTTGCCCAGAGACGTGGTTCCAGGAACAGTTCTGAGTTGCCAACTGGATTTTAGAGACCCGATTTGCTACGAAGGTAGTCCACGTTGACGGCGTAGCTTTCAACCAGCTGATGACTGTCGTAGAGTCGACCCAGAAGAAAGATTCTCCCGGAAGTTCGAGAGAAGCCGAGACCTTTTGGTGGAGTAGTGCAGCGAGAAGTGCTCCACATAGTTCAAGGCGAGGAATACTCTGCTGTTTCAAGGGTGCTACCTTTGATCTCGCTGTTAGAACCTTAACTGCTCCAGAAGAGTCTGCCGATCGAATGTAACAGCACGTGCCGTATGCTTGCTCAGAAGCGTCCGAGAAGAAGTGGTACTGCACGCTTGACGGATTTGATGAAAATATGTACCGCTCGATACGAAGGTTGTTGAGAAGTGGTAGCTGAGATCGGTAATTATGCCAACGTTCTCTTATTGGCATCGGAAGCTCCTGGTCCCAGTTCCAAATTTTACCATC